CCAGCTGCAAACGTCTCAATGTTTAGCGAAGAAGTTCCAAACTGCATGCAATGAGAAGTTTTAATCTGTAAACCCATAAAAATGTGACATGCACGGACGGAAAAGGAATACAATTAGTGTTGTACCAAAAAGTGTTTTACGACATTACTGAGGGTGAGAGCTGAAAGAGAGGAGAGAGTCGTTTGTACGTTACCACTGGTTTCGGGCAGTTTTGTGAGGCCAAATATTTCCGCTCTTTCCCCAAAAGCTGTGGGATTTGCCAGCAGCGCAAGAAGTGTGTGCGCGTCTGCTCCGCAGCAAGAACGCTGATAAATGTCAAAAACAGACAGGGGCTGCTCTAGCGTTTAGTCGGGACACGCTCGGGCAGAACTTCTCCAGTTCTGTCTCAGAAAGTTTCAGCCAAATGAGGGTCATGACCAGATACTGCCTCTCTCAGACGAAAGAACTTGGTGATTTTGTTCGACCTAATTACTAGGCTAGGAAGGCTACTGTACTCAAACAAAGAGGTGGCATCTGGCTTGTCATTACCGACTCTGTAAAAACATTATGTAAGTGCAGAAAATGGGCTGTAAATGCACACATTGTAGCTTCAATATGCTGATCAGAGGACGTCTGGACTGGTTTCAAGCTTTTCTGGATGGGTCTTCAAGTCGACCCCACTACTGCCCAATAAGACAGCCCCATCTCCCATTTCAGAGGGTGGGCATGTTGAGCCGAGAAGAAAGATCTCAGCTTTCTCGTCTTTCAGTTTTGTACACGGAGGGGTCATGGTCAAGCAGTTGTGTGCTATAATTAGATTGGTATGCTCAAAGGTTTTCCTGTAAATCACATCTATTGTCCATTATTTCTCATAATGCCTCAAAAGAAACCAAACTCTTGAAGGATATATAAAGGCAATTAGTATCTCTATAATATATGATAAAGATGAACATCAGCTATATGGCTGTGATTCAAACAAGAAGCTGATATCAAACCAACTTGCGTTTTAGACAAAATCTGGCCAATTAGTTTGTATATCTTTCTCCGCCAAAAAAAATGTTTCCAAAGGAAGCTAATCATGCTTTGCGTGAACTAATTGATTGTATAATAAGATTCATGAATATAAGATTTATTTGGCAAACAGTGAGGACTATGTTCTGGACTACTTGGTGTAATTTACTGTTAAACTCACAACAGATATGCCAATGTCATTTTAGTCATTTATCACAATAACATTATTATTAAGATAATGCAAGTTTATACTGTAAAAATGCTGTTCGTCTGTTGTGACTAGAAGGTTTGATTCATTGTCTGTAGACAAATAAATATCTTTTAAATACATTGTGTAGTTTAATAGCCAATCGTCGTGAAGATGATGGCTGAAGATTTGGCAAATCAGCTGATTCAATTTAACCTGTTTTTGAATTAAACTATTAAATGTTTGCAATTAAATGCTCTTTAAAGTTTGACATTTTTGTAAATAATTTTGATGAAACTCCACATAGTCTTTAATGAGCAGAAAGGACTGCATACTTTTTTACTGACATACTGACATTTTCCAGAGCTTTCAGAATAAAACAATCTCCAGATTGTTTTTGTTTTTTTTACCTTGAGATGCTAAATTGCAAACACATCCAGCCTTAGATTGAAGCTGATGTCACTCTTACATGACCGAGTGCGTTATCGTTCCTTGCATCGAAAAGATTAGTAGTGTAAGTAACCTAAGAGTTGTACTGTGTATGTGGGATCATTTTAAACAATATACAAAGGTTTTTACAGCCTAGGCCTCATCGGTCCTTAGCGACAGAACTGCAAATAGATGAGTTTTACGAGACGTAGATCAAAAGAGAGTTTAACTGTACTGTGAAATTAATGGTGTAAGATGTTTCAGCACCGTAGGATGTTTTGACTTGGCGTCAGGTAATGACCGGAGCTCAGTGACTCAACCAGCTGGAATGAACAGCTGCGACTGTTCACTGTTTGACCTGCTGTGTGTGAACTAACTTTATACATGTTCCTGGTCTTAATTGTGCATGATTCATTGGTGTACATCAGTATTTCATCAGTATTTTTCATCAAAATAAACGTACTTGCTCCACCTTTGAAATTACTTTCCTTTTCAGATGACGCCAACAAGTCAATTCCAAGTTCAGTCCCATCCTTCCAAACTACCTGTCCTACAGAAACCACTTTTCGACATCAAGTCCCTCCCTACATACTACTTTGAAAATGCTGTCGCATCATGGAAGTAAAATGGTTCTACCTCCTGCATTTCTGCACTTTCTGTTACGCACATCTTGTTAAGTTATGAGAATAGGACGTTCTTCTAGTTCTGTTTGGTTGTTGACTCAACCAACATAGCGTTCTTTTCTTGAATAAACTCACTAGAGGATGTTGAATTTAGGATGTCTTTAAAAAAATCACTATTTCCACAGATGAATTCCATTGGTTAGAATGGTCTGTATAATGTCAGGGACCATTTGAGATTTTCTTTGAGACCGAGAAGGTTGTTTCACACACATGCCTAGCACCATGATAATGTCTGTCAAAAGGCTGGACTGTATTTTTTGTTTGCGTTCAGACATCTCTTTTCACTGCGGTAATGTCAGTTTGCTTCAGCATCTGGTTCAGTATATTTCCTTATGGAACTTTTAACATAATGGAAGATTTCATGTTGTGCCAGAGAGCTTAAGTACTCAGCAGTGGCATGTGTGTAGTCAGCGGTTTTGTGTTTCTTTCCTTTTAACTGGGTACCTCAAAATCGCCCTCGAGGCATTCAGATTAACAATTCAGTTTCGGGTCATCCGCTGTTAACAAACCTTGGTGTACATTAAACAATGCTTTAATTGGTGCAACCTGTGGTGTGCTGGAAGAAAGGATTGAACATTTAACTCCAGTGTTTCTGAAAATGTACTTGGAGTCCCAGAATTGCAGCTTTTCTGATTTCTCAGCTCAAGTTTTTAGACGATTCCTCACATCCAGACAGTATTGGCCTCTGAACAAGCCCAGAGACTGGTTGTTCTGTCTGGTGTTTTAATAACTGTTGACAGGGATCCGTGGGGAGTATAACATGTCGTTCCAGGATCAGACAATAGAGGTATAGAGTTCAAATAATGGTTAGGTTGTGTAAAGGATGCTAAATGAATGGCTTAGTTTAAGGAAGCCTTGAAGCCTTTGGTCAGACCGGTGTCACATTTACCAAAAACAGTGGTGTCTTTTAAATAATTGTTGAACAGAAGCTCCATGAAGTTATTTACGATATTTATGATTGGTTAAGAGTCTTGGCAAATGCTAGTTTTCTGAATAGATTCAAAACCTTTCATGTAAAAACTAAAATTTATAATCAAAAACATTTGTATGTGCAGAGTGAAAAGCATACACCAATTTGTATTTGTAAAAGAAAAGTTTTGCATAAGTGCGATCTACATCTCCATATTTCAATAAAATAAAATTAATCTGTGCCAAAAGTGTGCATAGAACAATCTGGAAAGAATACAGTCATTGTGACTTAAAAACTAATTACATAACTCATCGACTGACCAGAATCAATGTGTACATGTAAAAATAAACATTTGCAAAAATGTAAATGTCTCGCTCTAAGAACATAAGTGTTTAGTCTTCACTGGGCCGTAAGGAACATCACAAACACAAATTCAGACAGGTTTCGAGATACTTGTTAGAGAAAGTCTTTGTGTTTACCAGAGGGAACATCAAGTTAATGGTGTAACTGACAGCATTTCCCAACTATGTAATGTGGGGATTAGGAAAAAATTCTGGAAAGATTTGATGTCCAATGGGAAAGTCTGATGATTTGTCTAAGGGATTTGTGACGGCCGTACTGGTTGATTGTGGGAACATGGTGTGAATTATCATATGTTTTTAATTAGCTAGTTAAAATTCAGGCAAATGAGGAGTTAAATTTAAGAGTAGTTTAATTAGATGTCTTAATTACTTATTAAAACACATACAGAGTATCTTTACATGTTTTAATATCTAATTAAGGGACAGGGTAAGTAAGGGTATAATTTCTAACTGTATTTAGTGGTTTCTACCAAAGACAGAGAGACGGAAACATTTATCTTCTTTTATTTTATTTACTGTCAGCATTAAATGGTTCTGTGCATTCAATCTTCTCTTCTGTGGTTCAAAGTCCTGAAGGTATGACTATTAAATGTCTTCAGCTCAATAATTATTAAAAACACTTGGTATATTAAAGGGATAGTTCACATAAAAATAAAAATGTTGTAAAATTCTGTGTATTTCTGTGGAATATTCCAGATTCTTTATCAGTATAATTGAGTCTAGTTTACAAAACTGGTCTGAATGGTTCGTTAAGGAATTAGGTTGAACCGGTTCACGTTACTGTCTCAATGATCCAGTCACAACAGTGAACAGCTCATTACAGTGATAAAATTAACAATGAAAAATTAATTTTGGGGGTCTGTTTCTTACATAAAAGTATCATATGACTTCAGAAGACTTTTAAATTTACATTTACATTCATGCTTTTAGCAGACGCTTTTATCCAAAGCAACTTACAAAATAGGAACAAAAGCAATTTGTCAAATTATGTACCAATTTTATGAGATTTTTATGGTGATTTTGGAAACTAAAAGCCCTAGTCCTCATTCACTTTGACTGTATTTGAATATTTCATTATGTTCTTGCCTGGACGTTCTTGAAAAATTCACATTTTGTGTTTCAAGAAAGAAAGTCAAAACCATTAGAAATGACGTGAGGGGGAATAAATTATAACATTTTTGAGTGATTTATTCCTTTAAGACATCAGTGTTCAGTGCAGACAGTCTCAGACTGTGACTTCAGTGTATTCTTGCCTTGTTATGGAGCAAATAACTTATTTCCACTTACAATTACGCAATCATCTAAAATGTACATTTTTCCACATATTTTGTTCGTATGTGTTTTGTTATCGGCCACTGTTTTGGAACCAGGTTGCTGTGGGTCAGATGGAATCTGTTGGGATTTTAATTCCTTTAATAAACAGGCAGTTTGTTTGGCAGGAGAAGTACCCAGACGTGGTCAGCCTTCCAGAGGGCTGCAGATCGGACCTCATGATTATAAGAAGTCCTCAACTTCCCGGGTAGGTTGCATCAGCTAGGAAAGCGAAATGGAAATTGCATCTGTTGATGGCACATGAAACACATGTATAGTGTCAAGCAACTACAAGTTCCTGTATATTTCAATGGTGACCATGACTCATCTCTCCAGATTACATGCATGAAATATAGAAAGAGTCAATAGGCGCATTTTCATTACAGATTTGCGCAAAACTTTGGCGATATTTTATAAATGTCGATAAAAAAGTATTGCGAAATGACGGCGTTTCCATTAACCAATGTTATGCGACTAAAACGTAACCTTTTGCCTCTCGCGACAAGTCAAGGCAACGGATTTTGATGGGATTTTAACAGATTTTGGCTATATTTATTCAAAGGAGGTGTAAGCGTGTATCTTTACAGAAGCAGCACAGAGAGCCGCTTCAGAAACATACGTGGTGCAGCTGGAATAAACACAAGCATTGACTAGAGTGGCCGTGTCAGAGCCACACTGCACCGCAGACGTGTGCAGTAGGGATGCACCGATACTGGTATCGGGCCCGATACTAAGCTCCTGTACTCGTTAAAATGCCCCGATACCAAACGCCGATAAAAATATTGGTATCGGTACTCGGTATCGGCAAGTACCAAAAATAAAAGTATCGGTATCGGGCGAGTACTGAAAAAAGTGGTATCGGTGCATCCCTAGTGTGCAGTGTAAATTGTCTAAGCATTAATTGTAGGAAAGCCCTTTATATTGGAGACCGGCCACGTATGAAGTGTTTCTTGGAGGTTATAGTACACTGAAGAATGATCATATGACTTTTTACATACGCCATGTGACCTGTAAATGCGGAAAAAAAAAAAACGTTTCCATTGCAGTTTTGCGAATTATTCCTTTTTCCGCATTGCCTGAAAAACCACCTCATGCGAGCTAAAAACTTTTTTGCGATATATGGGCATTTTTGCGAAATTGACGCGTTTCCATTAGGCATATTTACAATTCGCAATTTCAATTTGCGCAATTTGAAGGGTAATGGAAACGCGCCTAATGGCTTGTATGTTTCTCAGGATCTCCATGACCATATTCTGGAAGATCGATGTGTCCATGGAAGGAGTGGTAAAGCCATCGCTTGA